GGGTCCTTGTTTCTACAGGGTCCTGGTGTCTACAGGGTCCTGGTGTCTACAGGGTCCTGGTGTCTACAGGGTCCTGGTGTCTACAGGGTCCTGGTGTCTACAGGGTCCTGGTTTCTACAGGGTCCTGGTTTCTACAGGGTCCTGGTGTCTACAGGGCCCTGGTGTCTGCAGGGTCCTGGTGTCTACAGGGTCCTGGTGTCTACAGGGCCCTGGTGTCTGCAGGGCCCTGGTGTCTGCAGGGTCCTGGTGTGTATAGGTTCCTGGTGTCTGCAGGGTCCTGGTGTCTGCAGGGTCCTGGTTTCTACAGGGTCCTGGTGTCTACAGGGTCCTGGTGTCTGCAGGGTCCTGGTGTCTGCAAGGTCCTGGTGTGTATAGGGTCCTGGTGTCTGCAGGGTCCTGGTGTCTGCAGGGTCCTGTTGTCTGCAGGGTCCTGGTGTGTATAGGGTCCTGGTGTCTGCAGGGTCCTGGTGTCTGCAGGGTCCTGGTGTCTGCAGGGTCCTGGTGTCTACAGGGTCCTGGTGTGTATAGGGTCCTGGTTTCTACAGGGTCCTGGTGTCTGCAGGGTCCTGGTGTCTACAGGGTCCTGGTGTCTGCAGGGTCCTGGTGTCTGCAGGGTCCAGGTGTCTGCAGGGTCCTGGTGTGTACAGGGTCCTGGTTTCTACAGGGTCCTGGTGTCTACAGGGTCCTGGTGTCTACAGGGTCCTGGTGTCTACAGGGTCCTGGTGTCTGCAGGGTGCTGGTGTCTACAGGGTCCTGGTGTCTACAGGGTCCTGGTGTCTACAGGGTCCTGGTGTCTACAGGGTCCTGGTGTCTGCAGGGTGCTGGTGTCTACAGGGTCCTGGTGTCTACAGGGTCCTGGTGTCTACAGGGTCCTGGTGTCTACAGGGTCCTGGTGTCTGCAGGGTCCTGGTGTCTACAGGGTCCTGGTGTCTACAGGGTCCTGGTGTCTGCAGGGTCTTGGTGTCTACAGGGTCCTGGTGTCTGCAGGGTCTTGGTGTCTGCGGGGTCCTGGTGTCTGCAGGGTCCTGGTGTCTACAGGGTCCTGATTTCTGCAGGGTTCTGGTGTCTACAGGGTCTTGGTGTCTGCAGGGTCCTGGTGTCTACAGGGTCCTGGTGTCTACAGGGTCTTGGTGTCTACAGGATCCTGGTGTGTATAGGGTCCTGGTGTCTACAGGGTCCTGGTGTCTGCAGGGCCCTGGTGTCTGCAGGGTCCTGATTTCTGAAGGGTCCTGGTGTCTGCAGGGTCCTGGTGTGTATACGGTCCTGGTGTCTGCAGGGTCCTGGTGTGTACAGGGTCCTGGTGTGTATAGGGTCCTGGTGTCTGCAGGGTCCTGGTGTGTATAGGTTCCTGGTGTGTATAGGGTCCTGGTGTCTACAGGGTCCTGATGTCTGCAGGGTCCTGGTGTCTGCAGGGTCCTGGTGTCTGCAGGGTCCTGGTGTGTACAGGGTCCTGGTGTGTATAGGGTCCTGGTGTCTGCAGGGTCCTGGTGTGTACAGGGTCCTGGTGTGTATAGGGTCCTGGTGTGTACAGGGTCCTGGTGTCTGCAGGGTCCTGATGTCTGAAGGGTCCTGGTGTCTGCAGGGTCCTGGTGTGTACAGGGTCCTGGTGTGTATAGGGTCCTGGTGTGTAC